TATAATAAGATCATATCATTTTGTCACTAAATTACACTTACACATTGTTTTTAATTACGTCGGTGGAACTATTTTAATTAATATAATAATATTTATTATTAAAATTCGATAACGATAATTTAACAATATACTATCAAAACGTGAGGGGTTTACGCACAAAATCACATTCTTTTTTTAACGCCATTCTAACTTGTAACTTCGATATTATATGTATCACTGAAACTTGGCTTAACAACAACTTTCACGACTCGGAATACTTTGATAGTAGATACGATTTGTTTAGATGTGATCGTAATATAGCTGTAAGCGGACATGAACGTGGTGGCGGAGTGCTGATAGCGGTGCGCCGCGACTTGTGCCCGTGGCACCGCGGCGACATGCGTGCATCTCCGCCAGCTGAGGAGGTATGGGTGTCGGTGCCGCTGCGCTCGCGGCCGTTGGCTCGCGGCAGCGTCCCCTCCACCACCGTTGCTGCATCAAAACACGTTCCACAATACTTACACGTTATAACCACCTATATTGCTCATGGTAATAATCATAGCACATTGCTCAAATCATTTTATGACAGAGCCAGTGATTTTATTAATCGTAACTCTGAAGATATATTTTTGATACTCGGCGACTTCAATATTTCTAACGCACAATGGATTTACGATACAACCAGCAATTCTATGCAAATACAAACAAATAATGATAATTTAGCTTGTCTTACCGCCGATTTTATGGGAATATCTTTATTATCACAGTATAACAGCCAATTTAATCAAAACAGTAAGCTTTTGGATTTAATTTTTTGTAACGATTATTGTCAAGTATCACTTAGCAGCCACCCAATGGTGCCATGTGATCCTCACCACCCCCCACTAGAATTAGATTTCAAATTAATGATTAATGTAGCACTACAACCTTCAAATTGCATTAAAAAACAATTCTTTAAAGCCGATTTTGACTCCATTAGGGCAGCTCTAAATAAAATAGACTGGGAGAAGTCTCTGGTGGGTGATGTAGATTCTATGACAAATTATTTTTATAATATTTTGAATAATTTAATAGAGAAATATGTGCCAAGTTACAATATAAAAACGAAGCATAAATATCCAGTTTGGTTTACTAAGCCCTTGATAAAATTAGAAAATGAAAAATGTAAATTTCACAGGAAATGGAAGCGTTTTGGTAACATATGTGATTATAATATATACTCAATGTTAAGGAGTCGGTTCAAAAGGATGTCGGCGGACTGTTATAAAAAATTTATTAAGTATTCCGAAGATAATATTAAAAAAGACCCGAAATCGTTTTGGTCATATGTTAAATCAAAAAAATCTAGAAATGATATCCCAGCCAAAATGGTTTATATGGGCAAAACAATTTCTTGTGGTAAAGAAATTTGTGAGTCATTTAATACATACTTTAATTCTGTATTTATTTCATCTACCGGTGATTCTTCTCAAGTCAATACACATAGAGATAGTTTTTCTACTCTTGACCTTAACTCGGTAAATATTAATCTTGATATTGTCTTAAAAGAGTTGAAAAATGTCAATGTGCACAAGGGGGCTGGTTTTGATAATATTCATCCTATTTTAATTTCTAAGTGTGCTATAGAACTGGCAAAGCCTGTCACATTGTTATTTCGTGCTTCTCTGGAGAATGGAGTTTTTCCAGAGAAATGGAAGTATTCTCTCATCACTCCCATTCCCAAAAATAATAAAAAGGATATTTTGACAGAATACAGGCCGATTTCTAAGCTTTGTGTTTTGGGTAAGATTCTTGAAAAAATAATAACTTCGCAAATCACAGTAGCTGTTCGTAATTTTATATCTCCCCAACAACATGGGTTTTTTAAGCATAGAAGTGTTGATACAAATTTGATCACATTCACTGATTACTTATTACAAGCAATGGATGAAAATTCCCAGGTGGATGTCGTGTACACCGACTTTTCCAAAGCGTTTGATAAAATTAGCCATAATCTGCTTATTGATAAACTAATGAGGGCCGGTATACACGGCAACCTGCTGAGATGGATCGAATCTTATATTAAAAATAGATTTCAAGCAGTTTGTATCAAAGGTTATACATCACAATTCCTTCCTGTACCTTCAGGTGTACCGCAAGGTTCTCATTTAGGCCCTTTACTCTTTTCTTTGTATATTAATGACATCGGTGACGTTATCAAACATAGTCAGCACTTACTATATGCAGATGACGCAAAAATTTTTAAGGTAGTGAAATCTATGGATGATTGTAAGAAGTTGCAAGAAGATTTGGAAGCTCTGAGTAATTACTGTTCATCCAATCAATTGTTTTTAAATATAAATAAGTGTTCTATATTATCTTTTACCCGAAAAAAGAAACAGTACAACTTTCAATACACATTTGAAGGCAACAATATCAAGCGCGTCACTAAAATTAGAGACCTTGGTTTGATTATGGATTCGGAACTAACTTTTAATCCTCACATAGACCACATATTAAACTTAGCATTTCGTAGATTAGGATATATACTCAGAATATGTAAGCCTTTCAAAGAAATTATCACCCTTAAAATTTTATATTTTTCTTACGTCAGGTCTCTTCTAGATTTTTGCAGCACGGTTTGGAGCCCATGTTATCTAAAGCATGTGCAAAGACTAGAAAGAGTGCAGGGTAAATTTATTAAATCTCTTAACTTTCGCAACAATGTAGCCGATGAATCATACAGTGAAGCTTTGGTTAGATATAAACTGCTTAGTCTTTCTAATCGTCGTAAAATGTTTGACATTATTTTTCTTTTCAAACTCTTAAACTCACAAATTGATTCGTCCATTCTTCTCAGCAAAATTTCCATTTTAGCACGAGTTCGTCTCCCGGTGCGCTCCTCACGTAAATTGCAATTTTTTGTTCCTTCGCCGTTACGCAAAAACTATACACGTAATTCTTATATGTGTCGTTCCACCAACGTTTATAACAAAGAGTTCTCCGATTTGGATCTTTGTAATATATCTATCAATAGTTTAAAACAAAAACTAAATTATATATTGATGGAAAAACCAAAAAAAGAGTGTTTATGAAAATTTCTATTTGTGTTATAAGTTGTTAACTTTTAATGTCAATAAATTGTTAGCATTAGATGAATACACGTGCAAATCTGACTATGTTGAGACTCTATTTGCTGCTATAAATGTAATAAACTTTGGGCACTGTTTGGTCTATTAATATTAACATATATGCATGTACTTCAATATTATGTAAATGACTGTTTGTTGCCAAAATAAATGAAAAAAAAAAAAAAAATTCTAAGCACAGAGGAGCTGGAGATAAAAAAATGTTTGGTCATCCATCAATGACCGTCCATTGCGAAAGTTGCTTAGCTTTGAAGATCGCAGGCCGAATGCGCTAACTACCTGCGCCATGGAGCTCTTCAGTTAGCATCCTATAATAATAAAAAAAGTGGTCAATAAATCACTCAGTTTCAGCAAGGTCAATGTAAATTTACTTTGCAAATAAGAAAGAAGGAATTTAATACAATTTGTTTACTTAACCGCTTCCGAAGATATTTCTGTTACAATTTTGCTCATACGAAATCTGTAAACAGTTTTATTGTTTGGATAAATAAACTGACTGTTTCATTCATTATAATGATAGCGGAAATATTGTTTGCGTTTATGATATAGAAAAAGGCTACTCAGATAAGACAAATGGTTGTGAGAAAATAAACTTACCTATATTAAAAGCTTAACCGCAGCCGTCGGCATCACAACTGCAGCCGTCGCCTCCTTTCTGCGCCAGTTTACATTAAATCACGTTTTTATCGCGCCTAAATGTCAAACGCGTAATTTGACAATTGAGCGTGATAAAAACGAGCTATTTATCAAATCGCGTTGCTCATATTAGGCAGGCAGTAGTCAACCCGCTGACGGTAGCCGTCGATCTTTATCGTCAAATGGGCGACGACCGCCGCCGACGAGTCACCATGTCGATGGCTGCCTTAGGCGGGTTGACGGCAGGTCGACCAATTCTGCCGTAAGGTGCCAACGGATGCAGGTGTGATAACGTCGACTGCGAACCTCTCGTATATATGAAGACTAACTGGCGTCCAAGAACGACTAGCACTATTTTCCTTTACATGTCATAGTCAGAAGTCGTGATGGTAATAGTCTTTATTCGGTGTACGCAAGATATTGTAGTGAGAGGGGAGAAAAAAACTTTAATCGCTGTTGGAAGAGCTGACGGAAATGTAAGAAGAAAATATACTTATAAAAAAAGAAATGTTTCCGAATAAGAAAAAAAAACTGATGAAATAAAAGAAATAAGAATTTCTGCTTTTGAGATTTGAAAAACCTGCGGAACTCAAAACGGCTTTGAAAATGACACATGGATTTAAACGAATTTTTAATGTCGAAAGGGTGGCAAAGAAGCTGTGATGGCCGCCTGAAGGTAAGTGGCCACAATAGCCTATGTTTGATATCACTCGCACGGTTGCCTACCCTTACCCCGTCCCCAAGCCCGTGGAGCCCTTAATCACCAACAGTAACACGACACCACCAAAATGGTAATGTTTGTGTGTGGTTATCCCCATACGGGCGCTACAATTCCAGTGGAAAACCCCCTATGCTCTACCTTTCTTAAATGAGTATAGTATAGCGAAGTTGCTCTACAATGAAGAGAGAGATGGACCACAAACTGACTTGGCTTTTTAGGTAAACTGCTGGCGTGTGACGGTGCAGGAGTATTGTCTGGTTTTTAGTGGCCCTGTTCAGGGCGTAGGTAGGGGCCCTGGGGGCCAATCGCCTAACTGGATTGCTTTGGAAAACGCTATCGCTTACGATTTCATTTTGTTATTTCTAGCCCCCTGAGGTTTTCAAATGCCTCGCGCTCTTTTTTTTTCTTTTGCATTGGTAATAACAATGTTAAAGAAAATGAGCGTGAGGTATTTCGGCGGTTAGAAATAACAAAATGAAATCGTAAGCGATAGCGTTTTCCAAAGCAATCTGGTTAGGCGATTGGCCCACAGTTCACTTCAACGAGCTCCAGGGCTGGCTAAATGGGACAGTTAGGGAGTCCCACATACCTTCTTCTCGCTCCCCCAGTGGTTGAAGGATGCATAAGGTATTTCCCAGGCACAAAAAAGGTAAACTGTACTGTGCACCGATTCCATAATAATTTCTTCTTTTTCTTCACCAGGTTAATGCCCCCACGGTGTTCTTTATACATTGAATAGTGGGGACGGACCATAACTCACCACATGGACCCAGTGCAGATTCGTGGGTGTTGATGACTGCATATGCAGCCGGGACTAAAGACCTAACGTGCGTTCCGGAAGAAGTACGGAAGCTTAACTTCTACTAATCTAACACAAGTAATAACACTTGTGTTAAGTTAGACTATGCAGATGACGCGGTAAAAACATGAGTATTTTTATTTGTTTTACATTTTCATCGATTTACCGATTAACTCCAAGCGGAGTCTATATCATTGACAGATAACACTTACCGTGAGTGCGAGACCGCGTTTTGTTTTTACTGAACACATCAATTCAAATCAAATACGGATCCGATGAATTTAATTCATAACCTCCAATGCATAATCCTTTTTTTTTATTAATATTTATTTATAATAATCGTATGAAACAAAACGTACGCAGTTTCCTTTAAAATAATATATGGGTTACCAATCCAATTACATTACAGTCAGACCAGAACTGTTTACTGTCCTTTAAATCAGACGAATCAGGAGAACACACACGTTAAGTATATAGCGTATATTTTTAGAACAGCTTACGAACTCTTTTGAGATTTGAAAAACGAAACGGATTTACATGTTCCGTGTTCATTTTTTAAATTTGGAGCAAAGTTTAAATGCTAACAGGAAAAAGGCTGTGACTAGGACGTATCTCCATGGACATAATAATATGACTTTGCTCTGCTGCTTGGTCCATGTTACCCTAGTTTTGAAATTAAAACGTAGATAATAATATCTTGATGATACAATGAAAATGGGACTTGATAAAAGCGGATGATAAATTAGGTATTTTATTTAATGCTTACTTACAGTGGCCACTATTCCTAAACGAACAAAGAAAAGGTGACTCATTTCTTTGTCGTACTATTCGCAAGTGGAATTCTTTTCCCGCGCACGTGTTCCCCCCTTCCTACAATCTGGGGTTCTTTAAGAGAAGCGTGAAGAAGCACGTTCTGTGGGCTGGCAAGGTGAGGATGGTTGGTGTGGCAGTTTGCTGTACCAGCTATCTTCGCGTCTGGACTCTATCACCTCTTAACATCAGGTGGGGTAGAGTCATTTCCCTACCTAGCTATATGTATAAAAATCTCTATTTAGAAGAATTTTCTTTCCCTGATTTTATAATTTCCACCAAATGCTAATGTTTTCATTGAGGAGCTCAATGGCACCGGTGGTTAGTGCGTTTGGCTGCGATCGTTGAAGTTAAGCAACTTTCGCAGTGGTCAGTCATTGGATGGGTGACCAAAAATCTTCTATCTCGAGTTCCTCTGTACTTAGGAAGTCATGGTAAGCCGTTGGTCCCGGCTGCATCTGCAGTCGTTAACACCTGCCAATCCGCACTGGGCCCGCGTGGTGGGTCGTGACCCAATCTCACTATTCCATCCATAGGGAAGGCCTGTGCCCCAGCAGTGAGGACATTAATAGGCTGATGATGGTGATGGTGAACAGTTTTTCAATGTGAACTGCAAAATGTAAGCTGCAATTACAGGCTCGAATACACGCGACCAATAAAGTTCCTCTGAGAGTAATGGTGTACCTAAAACGTATCAATGTTGGTTGTACTCGACTTGTTTGCAAGATCAATGCGTCCCAGTTGAGTTGTGTGTTACTATATGAATATTTCAATACTTTCGTGTACCTGAGTCGCCCTAATGTTAGATAAGGAATGAGATGTCAGTAACGAGATGCTGTTGTCCCCGGAGTCTTTGGGTGATATTCTTTTTTTGAATATTTCTTTGGGAAAATGTTAACCTAACCTAACCCATTGATCATAAACACCGTTATGCTTAGATAAATTATGCAGAGTAAAATTTTGCTAGATGTAAATATGCCTAATATAATTCTGCCAGCTAAAAAGTAAGTATGCAATTTTGAATTTGGACATATAAATATTCGCTCATACAATGATTAGGTATATTTAAAAAACTAGGATGCAAGTGACCCTTTTAAAATCATTAATATTTATATAAGTCCTTCCTTGGCTGGGAATCGAAATTAAAAAAAAAGCTTTACAAATATTCGTTCAAAGACAATGATGTCAAATGTGTTGTGCCAAATGCATTTCGGAGCAACAAGATTCTAGAGAGCCAACCTAGTATCTAAAACTGAGCTTAAAAATAAAAATATGCAAAGCACTACTTGCAAAGAATTCAAACATTGTGTAAGGTTAAAAGTTAAACAAATTGGCGATTGTTGCTAAATCTGATTGTGGGTGGTAATGTAATGGTCATTTTAGTAATCAGAAATTCTGCTTGCATAGAAACACCGCTCAGAGTAATCTAATTTGGTTGGAACAGAGACAATGGTCGCATAAATCACGTTCTGTAGGTTAAGTAAGTAGTTGATGACTTTTATAATCAGTTGGCATAGACAATGAAAAGTAAAACAGACCGTGAAGTAGTATGTTCACATCATTATTTTGAATTTAATTGTATTTCATCATTAGCCTATTAACTGTCCCCATTGCTGGGTTACAGGCCTTACCTTTGGATGGAATAGGGAGATTGGGTCATGAACCACCGGGCCCAGTGCACCGGGCACCGGATTGGAGGGTGCTAACAATTGAACCAACGGCTTAACGTGCCTTCTGAAGCACTGAGGAACCCGAGATAGAAGATTTTTGATCAACCATCCAATGACCGACCACTGCGAAAGTTGCTTAACTTCAACGATCACAGTCGAATGCGCTAACCACCTGCGCCATCGAAATCCTTATTGTATTTATTTAGTAAGTATTCTAAACATTATTTTATTGATCAAAATTGATGATCTAAAATAAGCGATCAAGATTGCAACAATAAACAGACAGTAGCGTAGCGTGAGTTTCAACCAGAAAGGCCCAAACTTTGACAGATCCTTAATCGTCATCGTCAAATTTTGTATGGAAGAACAACAAGAAAATCCAAACACGTTTACTGGAACGTGAAAGCAATAATCGCTTTCACGTTCCAGTAAACGTAACTAGATAAATTGAACAAAATTTCACAGTGATAACACGAACTGGAAATCTACAAATAGACCAGGACGCCGCGGTATAAGTAACGGCCAATAAATCCATTGAGAGTCACACGGACGGCGTTCATATTGGATTAAATTTCGCAAAACCACCCGAAATTACCATTGCTAACACAGATAATGGGCGCAAGGTTGATGGCACCGTAAATTCGTTAGGCTGCACAATTAGTATGCGAGTAGCGCCCTCTATTAGCTAAACGAGCCAGATTACACCTTTACCGACAGACCGATGTAGGCGAGAAATGAATATACTTTTTTACTTTAGAAATTCCATGCGGCGAATGTGAGTGAGTGTTTTGTTCCTAATTCATTGTTATTTAAAACAAAAGATGAAGCGGAAGCGGCTAGCGTCGTTAATTTATTTTTTTGGAAGGGAAAACTTCTTTAGCGGCTTTGTACACTTTTTTTGTATGGGTAAACAATGTTAAACTCGCGTCAGGTTAAACACGTGGGCTGATCGCATCATGACACACAATAAAATTGGAAAGGTTGTTGACTTTCAATATATTGGACGAAATATAGTAATATTTTATTTTATCGTATTATAATAATAAGTCTCTATCTAGGACGTCCACGTGGCAGCTTTATTGCGAAGAAAATGCATTTTTTTTACAATAGATGTCGTTAGGTGCGCTTAAATGTGATTCATGTAAGTTGATTTCTTTACAATAAATGTCGCTAAGTGCGCTTAAACGTGATTCATGTAAGTTGATTTTTCTGAGAGATAAACTTTTTGTGATTCAAAGTTCGAACGCTAATTTTAGCGCATTCTAGTACCAAAGCTTCGTGACGTAGATATGGGAAAAGACTGTAAGCGGGTCGCTTAGTGTTGCCGCACACGGGCCACACGCCACAGCCACAAACGCCGCTACGAGAAGCTAGAAGCGGCTACTAAAGTGGCTGAAGCGCGCGACAGCGGCCGACTGAGGCAAGGGAGAGAGGGGTGGGTAATCGTGCGAGTGATGTGTGGCGGCGTTTTGTATTGGCGCATCAAGTGGCCGGTGCGGGCCACAAGAAGCGAGCAACGACGATTTGTACGTGTGGCGGCCACCGGCGTACCGTGTGTGGCGAGTCCATATAAAATGTATGAAAACTACAATAAATATGCCGCTGGCGGCGTTTTGTGGTTGTGGTCGGTGACCCGTGTGCGGCGCCACTTACAGTCGCTACAGCCACTCAAATCTTCGTCGCACAGCATGTCGATTCTTCAAGATATAACTCACAATTTCATTCATTTGGATTTTTGACAATTGCCAAATATCTATTATTGGCTTCTTCAACATTCATTGCGACATTTTGCCGTGTAATGGCGTAGTGCATATCAAAGTATAAAGCATATTTCTAAAATGGCCGCTACCGAATTCGGTAGTAAGATTGATTGTAAAGAATCGCGCTGCAGGTGTGAGAGAAGTATTACAGTCTTTCGGTAACAAAGAAATAAGTCACATCAGTTACTCTTTTTTAGTGACCTGTGAACCCTTTTCTCCTACCCGTGGGTAAAAAAATATCGCAAAGTAATACTGTTATTGGCTGTGGTCTTTTGTAAGGTCGAGATTAATCCTCGGACTCCGATTGCGAGATGATAAGTTGGGCCAACAATAATCCGAATATAAATATCTAAATCTGATAATTTTCAGGTACATTATAAACAACAAAATATAATAGTTTATTAGAACGACAGGTTCATCATCATCAGACAATGGACTTCCACTACTGGACATAGGCTTCATCTAAGGATCTGCCTTCAAGCACAATAGTCCTGCATGCAATTGGTTCTATTAGCCCAGAAATAAAAACTGTAATATACACCGAAGCGAAAGTGAAACGGGTTACTAGTGGAAAGTTATATTATGTTATGTATGTTCATACAGACACGTTAGCATTTAAGTCATTAAATAGTTTTTGGAGGCTGCAGAACTAGTTCTTTTTTTCTCAAAAAGTTTTGCTGAGGCAGTGTTTAGTTAACTACAAAAGAAATCTCAGGCCCACTTCACTGAGTATGTGCCTATTGCAAGGAATAGGGTATTTGACAGTATTAAAAATAAAGTGTCAATTGTTAGCATCTGTGTTTAGAATGAATATTGGCAGGGGTTTTGACTATTTTTACAAAAAAAAATATTCATAGTTTTACTAAAAACCCACGAAAA